CAAAACGCAAGGTGTTGATTTTAAATTGTGCTTTCATTCTAATATAAACTTTGCTTGCAGAAACAATCGAGATGCGTGGGTTTCAAATGCTAGCATCGGATCATGCAGATACGATCCCAGTCATCCTATTGACAAATATTGCCCAATTTTTAAAATGTCAACCATATTTGATCAGACGGGTGTGGATGTGAATACAATTTTCAAAGTAAGTTCCCAGGAAATGTTGAGATGGCTCAGTTATAGGATTGGGCAAGGTCAAATAAAATTAAATATGCCCATTTTATGTTTGAGTTCACATGCAGTCAACGTTTAGCTGGTAAATTATTTTAGTCAAGTTGACTATTATTGTTTTAAAAACGATATAAGATGCTCAGAAAATATTTTGTTTAACAAGACACAGGAACAGGAACTCTTCAGGAGAAAAGGTGATATTGTCTTATATTAAAGGAAGAGTACCCATTTTCATGTCCTAACACTAAATAAAACCAAAACACTAAACCTAACGCTTCGACTATGGTCGTAATTCAAACTTACCGCAGCAAAAACCCTCACCCTACCCTTAACCGCGAACTTATTTCTAATTTTTTTAGCAACTGTGTTATGGAGCATTTTTATTTCCGCACCCTATCTTCTTTTCTGTAATTCACGCCCAAAGGAAAACAGGATATTGAATGCCCATTTGTTTTTTCAAATAAACGAGCATTTTAAACGGAAACTCCGTTCACAGGAGAAATATTTATTTAAACGCTCGTTAGTACATTAGTTCCTTATTATACTAGCAAACCCAGCTTCTGCTCGTAAGTGCACATATGAATTGCACCAATTTTTGCAACTCTTAACAGGTTTTTTTGTCTGTCAGGGGACGATGTCCTTAAATACTGAGCAAGGTTGGCTGGATCTTTGGACTAATGTAGGCAAAGCGAGATCAACTGATTTTTTATTTTCCTTGTAATTCACCAGATTTAGAATTAAGCAAGTTAATGCATCATAAAAGATTCACGAAAAGATAGTTTTACAAGCATTCTACGAATAATAAATAAAAACAAACCGCTTAACTACAACATTGTATTTATTTCAGTCAGTCCACTTTTTTAAGATCCGTCTCTAGGATTATGACTACCGAATACGTAATATGTTGTATATAGCGGTGTGTGAAGCAACTGTTTGCATACGTGTCTGATAATATTTATTACACAAGTTAGTAAATGTCTGAGTCCATATTTTTGTTCGCTAATTATAACTTGACCCAGTAATCTAATAGTACTTGGTAGAAAGCTTTATGCACTTTAATGGTCTGCTTTTGTATCATTCTTCTATTAGGGTGGTGTACTGGGAATAATCATTAACTGGGAATGTAATCTTGATTACGGAATTGAGAATTGCAATCCTCAGTATTCTTTTACAAATCTCGAGGACACTCGTGACAAATCAAGTGGATTCAATTTCCGGTAAGAATCTTTTAACAAATGACTCATTTTCTCAGCTGCCGTCTGGGTTTTGTTTTTATAGTTCTAATGCCTATTTCTGCGCATGCGAAGCAGCCGTTGATTTTAATAAAGATCTTTTGTTCAAAGTAACTAACTTGCAGTGAAAGGTTGTCGAGCACTGGCACAGTTTGTTTATCAATTTGAGCTATTGCGC